TTTTTTTTCGTGTCCCTGTTACATCTGACATTTTATTTTTTAAGTTCAGAACACATTTTCTAATTTACAAGAGTAAAGAATTAATGCAAATTACCTGTCAAACAAAATAGCAATAGTTTGAGATAAATTCCCGTGTTATTTCCACGTCAAATAACAAAGGTCTGATGTAACAGGGACACGAAAAAGACAAACTTTTGCACCCTCAATTTCTGGAATTACTCATGTACATTTAATATTCTCAGATCGCATCGTGCCGATGGAAAACGTTCACCTTTCTGCCATCTTGTATACTCTTGCCAGCAGGCCATACATGTACATGTCCTTACAGATGCGTGTGGAGGGCCCTCAAGGGGGCACACATTTTCTCAACTGGGCACCAAGATGTACTGTGACTTGGTACTGGTACATGTACATGTACACATAGGTTGTGCACATTTTGAGATTTCAAAGGGGAATGAAGTCCTTCGGGAGGGGAAGACATGAACCCCTGCCGGGGAGGAGGGGGGGCGATTCTCTCTTGCACTCCCCTATTATGTAACTCCTTGAATCTCCTCACCCCAATCTCATCACCCCCTTCCCTGTCCCAATATGGGTGTTGGCAAGACCAAACCTGACACACCCACTGACACTGTTGACAGCCTGTAATCCTTGGCAGACTACAGCGTCTGAGACCACATGCCTTTTATCTAGGGAGGGGGACCCTGCCGTTCTCTTGGCAGCACGACATGGGAAATGCCTCCTGCACATCCCTTAATACGCCCTACGTTTAGTCACACTGCTGATGAGGGTGTGATATACCAACTTCATCTCAGCACATTAGCCCCAGTGGCTTGACGCTGCGGTTAATTCCCTGCTTCTGACATTGTCCCGTCTCCCTGGAGAGCAGCAAAGACATTCCCTAATTCCAACTCTTAGGCAATTTTGGGGGGATGTACCGGTACATGTAAGGCACATGTAAATGCAGGAGTCCCCAAACATCCCGCACTGTGAAGGAAATGAATGACAAATTCTGCATTTTACTGTATAAAGTGCAAGTTCATACAACAATATCAACCCCATGTACATGTAGGCTACATGGGTAATTCCAGAAACTAGGGGTCCAAAGTATGACATTTTTGTGTCCCTGTTATATAACATTCGACCTTTGTTAATTGACATGGAAATATCACTGGCATTGATATCAAACTATTACTATTTGTTTGGAAGGTAATCTGCATTAATTCATCACTCTTGGGAATTAGAAAATGTGTTCTGAACTTACAAAATCATATGTCAGATGTGACAGGGACACACAAAAAGTGGACCCCTAATTTCTGGAATTACCCTGAAGGCTGACGTAAACCGCAAACTGTACACGTACAAAGTATCTCTTACGTACATGTACCGTACATGTATGTATACATTGTACATGTACATGCACCAGGAAATGGTCGAAGGAGTGTTGAGATTTACAAACAGTGATTTTTACATCCTTAACCTGTAGGATGCCAATTAAGCTTTGGTACAGAAGTTTGCAAATGGTTTGGTGTGCCAGTTGCTTCAGACATGACTGGATGTGAAAAATTGCTTGGCATTGCTGTGGCATAGGTACATGTACATGTACAGTACCCGAACATGCAGTGAAGAGGGATAGGGGGCAGCACAGGCCTCCCTCCCTTGAGGGTTGTGCCCTCTGTGTGCCCCTCCCCTCAGGCTCAGAAATTAACGAGAAAAAAATAAAGGGATAGTCCCCCTTGGTCAGTGTTGTTAATGTGACCTAACCATTAAGCCCCTCCTGAAAACGGACGCCCCCTGCAAAATGTACCTCAGTGATGCCATTGGCTACATGCAAGCAAAACAGTTTGATCGACCAAGTTTTTTTTTTTTGCTAAGCAGAACTTCTTTGTGCTGGATAAACGTAGGAGCTAACTGAACTCCTTTCTCTCTGCTGGAGCCCGCTGAGAGCGCCTGTTGCTGCTCAGCAACTGACCCCTTAATTGTTGACGATTCTGCCAAGTCACAGCCACCAAGGACGGCGTGAAAGTCGCACTGCACTCTAGCTGACAGACCCTCATTGAAAGGGTTTCATCCCTGAAAGTTTTGAAGGGGGTGGGTCTCAACCGAGGGTGCTTAGCAAAGACCAGGTGCTAAAGGATTAACTGTTAGTCATGGACAAAGTCATCAGGAAAGTAACCACAAAATGAAAACCTTGCATTGTACAATGGATTATACACGTGCAGCAGGTCTTGGTGGGTGCTTCATCACTATAGGCTGTCTTTGGAATGCTCGCAATGCTTTGTTCTTAAAGGATATTTCCTATCATTTATTTATATCTACGTTACTATTATTTAATGTGCACAATACAACAAACACATGCGATGCAATGTGCCAGTGAATGAAGATAAAAAAATGCACCAGAATGCGACGAGAAAAACTGACCACTGTGACCAGAGGATCAGGACTTCTCTACTTCTTCAAACAGAGTCAGGGAAAGTCAGGATGACCAAGGCAAAGACAATCAAACTAATGGAAACAACTACTGTAGCAGTTGAAAAATTAAAATAGTAGGTACATCTGAGCAGGAGGTCCAACTTGTTCCACAAATAGTAAAGCTGAGCATCAAATTCACCAACACTTTGTTCCTCCAAAATATTTCAGGAGAGTCACGTTTTCAAATTCCCTTTCAGATTCCTCAGAAGTCAAGCTCAGATTTCCACCGGCTGCCAAACCCCACATTCCTTCATTTTCCCAATGACTGCAATAACCAAATGTTTACAAATTAGCAATTACAGCTGTTGATGGAGTCTTGCATCATTTGTGGAGGTTTAGATTTATAATTCAATATATAATATATATCAATTTACGGGCACACTTCCAATACTATTAAAAATTTGAAAATGCTACTAAAAAATTCACATACAGTACAGGTACCGATATCAACATTGGGATCGACAGACAGAAAAACAACCAGTTATTTCCGAGTTGCGTGTATTTTCATAATGTTTATGTATGTACCATACCATTCCTTCTTCCTTGATACATCTTCAGCTCCAAAAAATTTCAAGTATTCAAAACGTGCCGACTTAGCCTCCAGAAAGCACAAAGCTACATGTACCAGACTGCAGTATCTCGGTGCTTGTCCGGTACATGCATCTTGAATATTGCATGGTGCACACAGGCACGTGAACTGTAAACTGCCTGCAAACATGATGGAATGTACTACTGGTACAGTGCATGTGCGTGTACGAGTTCCGCAGAGATCACAGCGGTATTTCTTAGATATCCAGCTCTCTCCCTGTCTACATTTTGCTGTTTTTCTCGGTGTGGGTGGTTAATTGCGTCGTGCCGAGGTCTCCACAGGACATGGTACCAGATCTACTGATCTCCAGTGCAGCAAAAAACAGTGAATCATTCCATGCGCTGCATTTGCAGAGAGCAAATGTGAGAAGGGTCGATGAAAGTCCTGCAAATTTTTCATCAGTCTTGTGGGAGCACTGAAATTTTAACATTTTTAAGTGATTTCAAAGGTATTTGCCCAGAGGCATGTTTAGGTACATTTTCTTTAGCAAACAGCACACAAAATATGCAAATTATTATTACAGGTAATCTCATAGTCATTAATCATTTATGGTAACGACACCAAAGATTCCTCAAAGCACGCTAGGCACTGTAGCTCGCAAGCCTGAAGAAACCTGTGGAGAGGAGACAATGAGAAGCACTCACAGTTTTAGAGGTGGGAGGAAATTCCCAAGGATTATTCTGGGTAAGACCCCACCCACATGTGGGACCGAGCCGGGATTTGAACCCGGACCACAGAGATGGAAGGCAAGGAAAGAACCACTATGCCAACCTGACTCCCCAGTGTGCATGTAGAACTAAAAAGAAAAACAAAAACAAATTCGAAGGAGTTGTTTCCTCAAGGGCAAATCTAGTACATACATGTACATGTACAATACGGGTACGTCCATGTACATGTACACACAGCAACATGTACATCCCACAAATGTTGCACATCCCTCCCAGTCCTTCCCCACCCCCCCTTTTCAATCACAGTGTCAAGATCTACTCAAGTTTCACATACCAGTAAGAACTGATGTCCATGTGAAGTACGTGTACACGGATTTACATGTACATGCCTTATCGGAACAATTAGGGTTAGAGATTTTCATCCTTTAATGGGCCATTGAACAGGGCCAATTCCTTCATTTCCTCTCCAGCTAATAGAATCTGGCCTCTGGTTTGAATCTAAGCCAAGGTCTGGCTACCAATCATGCATTCCAATGGTACATGTACAGGGGTACATGTGCTTAGTGCTGCGTTTCCAACCTCCATGCTTTTCAATTAGTCTCACCTTACCATTAAAATCAAAATTCCAAATGGTACTAATTCAAATCAAGGCACGCGTGAAATGTGAATACCAGTACCTGAGATCAAGCTGATAAATGCTGGCCAACACCTGTACATTCATTACACTGTACTGTGCTCAATCACTGTACAGAGTACCAGTACATGTACTTGGCCACTAGAACGACTCCTACCAGTTTGATATTCGCTCCGATGCTACAAAAAACTAATCACATGAATGGTCTAACAGCTTTCCAGACTTTTTTTTACGAATAAACCCCTTTTCCCAATTCAAAAATCAAATATGTTTTTTTTTCTCATTTTGGCAAATGTATCTTTAAAACCATATCCAAACAAAAATATTAGGTACATCTACTGGTCGTAAAAACAAATTAGTTAAATCGCTCTATATTCTGGAGAACTACATGTACACATGTACTGGAAGCCATTAGAGCAAGAGATTCTAACCACGAACAATCAAAAAAAGTCCTCCAAATTTCCTATTCATGTACATTTTGTATTATAGCGATGCAGCAGTTTACATGTCTTTATGGGGACAAAGGGAAATCTTAATCATCTCCCACACTTACATTTTTGTAAAGCCTTAAATTCACTGCTTTTCATCATCTTGCTAAAAGAAACATGCAAGCAGAAAACAGATTTGTAATCTGTCTTACCTTGTTGCCATAGTGAGATAGCTGGTAGATGCACCATCCGTCGGGGACGCCGTTTCCATTAGTTCCAAACATTGTGCCTCCGACAACAAGGGCACAAAAGTCCACCAGATGCTATAAGTCTACGTCAGAAATTATTTCTTATTCTACTGGCAAGTCTCTACAAAACCAGTTGTCTTTAAAAACAGTTGCTTGTCAACTTCACACGGTACTTGTGTGTATTCCCCTCACTGAAGGTCTCCTGGTGGAATCAGTTGGACGAAGTGGCGTTCAGCGTATCATATGTTCTATCAGAAATCTCTGAAGACCGACACCAATAACGTACACACAAAAATTAAATTCTAAATATGCTTGGGGAATGTACAATTGGCTGAATGGGTGAACATGTCATGAAGAAATCCAGTTCTGAATCTCAAGATCCTGCAGGTTTGGGAGTCGATACAAAAAAGTTGTGATGCACACTCCACAGAAAGGGTAGACGTGAAACTACCCGAGTTTGCATGTAGATGATCGACCTTTTCTGCTTTCTTGGCTTCCACTGACTGAGACGGGCAGCTGTCCTCATTCGCTGTCACCTCCGCAGTTCAAAGTCACACAGGAAGAGCCCCCAATGTCTCACCCCAATGTCAGGATGACACTACCCTTGGGGACCCTCAGAACAACCCGTCTACGGGAAAACTACAGAGAAAGCGGTAAACAGAGTATTCCTGGGACAATAATGCTTCCTGTCTTCTGCACTCTGGCAGGGGGCTTGCACGTGCTCCGAGGGATCTGTCTGCAACTGTTTCCACCCTTTTTTTGGAGGGCAGCTCAGTTTTTAGTCATCGGGGATTCATCATTCAGAGTTGACACCCAGCTTTTGTTTTTCTCTCTCTTAGTGGGGAGTATATGTGAAGACTTCCTCCCAAGTCATTCACTCTGGAGTGGGGCAATAATTGTATCAATCCCCCTGATTTGTTGACCGTCTGGAATGTCATTAAGGTACCAGGGCTGATGGCCGGACGTTCTTCGCGGTAAATGAAAACGGATCAGAAACTCCAAAGATGATGATGCAAACGAGCTGTCACAGGAAAATGATGGACGCCTTGACCAGACAGATGAGTAAGGGGGAGAAAACAGCAGAACCATCAATCTTAATGGCTCTCTCTCAGTACCCGAGGAATGAGGAAATTCATTCTGTGAGGGAAATGTGGACGTGAAAAATGAAGACTGTCTGAGCCTATCTTCTGAGGAAATGCAGTTGACTCCCTACAGCTACGGTTCACTTTCCGACCACAGACACTTCTCCTAAGACGGAAATTAGAAGCATACCTACATGTACACGTTTTGGAACCAGCAGACGGTACAATTCTGAATCAGTACAGAGACTGAAATGAAAAAGTTTTAACCCAACTCATTATAGAAACACATACATGTACATGTATCACAGTTACATGTGCAGGCTGTATTCCGGTACATGAATCCATTTTCTCTAGACTAATGAAACCAAATCCTAAAACAATAAAATTTACAGGGTTTCACATTCCCAGTTGCACAGGGCTGTAGGAGACGAATCTCTAAGAAGTAAATTGATTATTTTTAGATTGATTTGATTAATTCAGATTTAGATTATTCATTTTTCCCCCAGCATTGGGGGAAATTATTACCGATGAAAAAGCTACATCGTCTTTTCAGCTTTCTTCACCAGAGCCAGTCCTCAGTCACGACGTTGCATGCAATTTCATTTTCAAGTTCAACATTTGCATGGAAGCTCTCAGTTATCCCTTACCATCCCTTAAAGGTACCAAAGGACGACTTCCTGGCAGAGTGGAAGTTGCTGAATTATTTGGCTATTGAAGACAATTGATTCCAACATCTCAGAGCAGTGTGTGCAGTGGCCCTTGGCATCATCTTTCTCCAAACAAGATGAGAATGTACATGTACGATGCACATGTACATGTCATCTCCGCAGCTCCCAGCTACAGTATCTCTAAGTTTGTATCATTCCCAGGACGTACCTACATTGTAAATGTATCAGCATCCCAGCACCAATGCCTCACAATGTTCTGACAGTGGAGCATTTCAGAGGAGGCACAACAGCAGGGTGGAAAGCTGACAAGCCCAAATGATTACACTACCCAGCCACTGCAGCTTAGCAAGGAAGTCTGGAGGACACAGTTTGCCCAATGCCGGTATCTCAAGCCAACATGACGACTCTCCGATTTTCATCAGATTTGTACATGTGCCATGTGTCTCCAGAGAAAATCCAGGGCGCAAATATGAAAAGACCCTGCATTAGGTGTTAACTGACTTAACTATGACTTAACTATGAAATCTGCACAAGCAACTCCTCGGATACATCAACCTATTTCTGACATTTTCAATAAGGTAGTGATTTCATACAACAAGCACATGTACCGTATATGTACTATATTTTATCAGCAAACCCGTCTAGAGAGAAAATCCTGCTCATATTAGGCTAAGCTGAAAATGAAGAACACTGACCAGAACCAAGAACAAGGTTTTATCCCAAGTTCCTGGACCTATTTCCCAAGAGGCTTCTGTCAATCCCAGTGGCCTAACTACCTGTAAGCTGGGGTGGGGGTGGGAAGCACATCCCCCCCCTCAGGCCCTGTGCCCCCCATGTGTCCCCACCCAATAAGAAAGCGAAAAAAAATCTGGTGATAGTCCAGCTAGCTTGATCTGTGATTCAACCTTGACCAACGACCACTAAATAAACTGGTTCACGTCTACAACCTCGAAACTCTTGAAAGGGAAAGTAAAGCAGTGCATTTTGCTACCAGTACGTCAACCAGTGGAACAACTTCGTTTGGCTGGTACTCGTTATACATGTATGTATTTGCATGAAAATTTTCACCGCTTCTGATATCAATCACTGCGAAATTGAATCTTGCACTTTCAACACTTGCACTAGTGCAACCCAAAACAATTCGGCAAACAGAATTCCTGTGGATAGAGCATCCCTGAGAAACAAGTGTCCTTAAGAGCTGAATCTACAATCAAGATGTCAAGATCTCCTGGGATGAGGATAGCATTGTTGAAGTGTTCACAAAGAGGAGCTCTGACTTCCCATTATACACATGTACAACTGCACCTACATGTACACCCACACTAAGTCTGACATGTGCCAGAGGTGTTGAACGGGCCTGACCTGGAAGCGTCGTCTCCCTCGGAAACCAACATCAATCACAGGACGTCTGATGCTTGTCACTCATCCGACAAACTCATGGTCAAAAGTTCAATTTCTCATTGAAAAGAAAAAAAATTGGGAGCAGGAACGGGCAGAGCTCTGTCTCAGTGCATGATCGATCAGGGCAGACTCAAGTCCATTGTTCGTGCTTCATTCATATACCCGTACATGTATGCCATGTACACATCCATGAACTTGTACTGTTTTGAAGAAATTCACTTTTCTCTTTTCCTGTAAATCATTTGTGCTTGTGAGCAGCCTGTATTGTTTGCGAACCTTTGAAGTCACTGATGATTTTGTGCCCAAGAACACTTTGCAAGGAAGCGCATATCAAGTGCTTAATTACTGTTGCAATAGCATACAAGTGCCACAACTATGGAATATTTTTTCTTACAAGAGTGGAGACACCCTCCTTAGCAACAATGAATTTCTCAGTTCACAAAATGTCATCTAGTTACTGGTAACTGTAAGTTGATTTTTCCATGTACACGTTTCATTCATCTAGCAGATCTTAATCTTAAAATGGAGGAATGAACCACCACAGCAAGATCGCAAGGGAAGAACCCCTTCAAGAGGTGAGGCCTCCCCTGTTTAAAATGACAGCAATGACAGCCATCAACATTTTCCATCCAAACGACTCATGTACAAAAAAGCATCCGATTGAAAATTTGCAGAAATTCATGCACAAACCACTGTGCTGTACGTCAGTACCATCAGGTCCCTTGCTGTGCTTGCCTTTCACAGATTGTGTATTTGGTACCAGTACACGGTGAGAGCATGGAGAGCAAACTGCATTCTGTTATCTGGAAAGCTGCTGTGTCGTTGAACCATATCCCGAGGATCGCATAGTTCTTTATCTCAGATGCCATATGGTGTACATGCAGCAGACTCATGATACGTGTACCACTTCAACTTTGTCCATTTACCTTACATCCTGAAGTGGCATCCCACCTAAGAACCTTCCTGAGTCCTCCAAATCCTCCACCCGGGGGGGGGGGGAAACCAGTGTAACATTCTTTGCACTTTGCAGAGGCATCAAGTCTCTAGTTAAGGCCGGTTCATGCTTCACACGAATGTGAAAGCCAATTAAATTTGGCGTCATAAAACATTTGCAGCAAATTTTGCTTGTTCTGAAATATTTTCATCTTTTTACCCAAAAAGCCCTGAATACTACGAAGTACAACTTAGTAGTAAAATGTAGTATACAGTGCTGTCGTCACATGACCTTATTGTTCTCTGAAGCCATCAAACACAATAGATAAGACAATGTACCATACAATGCTCTGGCACTATGAATGCACAACTTTATTGTTCTCTGTACGAGTAACAATGGAGAGTACCCTAGCCAGAAGTAGTAGTTTGTAGTGCTAGGTCCTTCAGGCTCACACTACTGCTGTGGTACTGAGTACAGCAAGCCAAATTTTCAGCGGAACTGTTTTAAAGTTGGCAGCAAGATTATTTGATCAGGCTTCACTACATCACCATAATGTTTGCTTTTCGTGCAAAAGATGGGCCAACCTTTCAAGCACTATAACACCAGCTGGTCTCTATCCGACACACTCCTCCAAAAATCTTCCAGGTGGTTTCTGAATACTGTGTGTCTCTGCCACAGCTGTACTATTGCTAAGATTTTATTGGTACCGGGAGGGAGGAGAGAGATGCCTATAACCTGAGTCGTCGCTCACTGCAACATGACCACCAGGTCCCATGAAATCACATCTTGGAAGTCCAGCTCCATCAGCGACTGTACATGTACATGTACAGCCTAACAAATGAACCCAGCACAGCTTATCCCATGCATACGTGTACTGCCATCCATAACCTTACGAAACGAGACAAAGCTGGCAAAAGCAGAACACATCAAAGCTCTTGAAAGTACACGTAGGGTACTGGTGAGTGCAAACATCTACAGCTACATTGTCCTAGCCTGATGCAGATATCCACAATTATCAGAGGTACACTGTACATGTACAGGTAGAGAACAATAAATTCACTCAGATACATGTAGGCCTACAGGTACAATACAGCATCCATTTCCACAGAACTCGCCTGGCATTTACCCTCATCAAACTCTTTGCCTGGGCTGTGGACACATACAGCTACACTCCATCAAGGGACTGACCTAATTCTTCTCAGTCTCTGTAACACTCTGAGCCATTTTTATTGTGTACAACACCCCCTAATAAATTTTAATCCCTTACAAGTTTGTTGTAGTAAGGGATAACTGCTTTGTGCCCTACAAGTGTGATGTGTAACTTTCTGGTGAACTTTTGTGCCTGTATGTTACTGTACATGTTCTGGAACTCATAGAGTACACACATGTACATGTACAGTGGGTGTAGGATGCTGTGATGGGATCTCTTGTGATAGTAATTTAGTACATGTTCCACACTCCAAAGAGATTCTTTCATGTACACATGTACAATGTACATGTATGTAGTTGTGCACAAGTTTTAAGTTGCAGGTTTACCTAATGCTGCATTTCCCACGGAAGTTTTTCTCACCCACAAACTCAGTAAAGCTTCTTCTGACCTCTAGATGGAAAACTTTTGTTGAGCAAAAATACCAGCTCGGGCTCACACCGGCAGCTGTGGCTGACCTAACTATGACATGCGTTCCTACTGAGAATTTATGTTATTCAATTCTAATCTTGAGAGTTTTACCAAACTGGAACTCGCATTAACCAATGTACATGTAGGTGAACATGAAGCCTATTCCCCTTTCTAAAATCACTGACAACTATTGGCCTTCATGTATTATGGCACTAGTATCTAAACATGTAAATAAGACTGTTACATGTTTTACATACATACATGCACATGCACGTGTATATTGTGTAGGCCTACCCCTACAGTGTCTAGCAGTAGATGTGTCTGTCTCAAATGCATTGAAGTTCTGATCATGGGATGGCCCAAAATGTACCTCCTGGTACATGCTGCACTGGTCAGTCTGAACACAGTGCTGATTGATTGATCAACTACTATCCACAGCTAGGTGTAAGTCTTCATTACTGGCATTCTCAAATTCCCTCAAGGAGAACCTCCATGAACCACACAAGGAGGGAGG